TTTTTTTTTGAAATACTTCTTTTTTTTTTTTTAATTTATTTATTTATTTATACAAGCACTGGGTACAGTCAGAAGCACCGGAGGGTGAGAGAATTCACCAGAGCCAGAGCGGGGAGCAGAGCAGGCAGAAGGACCGAAGTACACTGCTGAGGGGAGCAGCGGGCGGCAGGAGAGGTCTGCGCTCCATGTGGGACCCTCCTCTGGTGGCCGGGGAGCAGCCAGGGATCGAACTGGCGCTGCAGAGGCTGCGGGCAGCTTCGCAACCCAGCGCTCAACCGCTGCGCCACCGGGGAGGCCCGTGAATAGTGCTTTTAATACAGATTTTGTTTTTCTTAATTGAAATTTATTAAGCAAGAATGAGACCTTTACCTACTGTGTTTTTATATTTAGTATTTGATAATGTTCAACAGTGTTTTCCTATAAATCTAGATTTAAATTCCATCCTTTCTACAATGTATATCTGATGTTTTTATACTAATTGTGAGAAAAAAAAACTTTGACCTTAATTGATTGTGGTTTTAAAGTGATAGCAGACTATGTGCTTCCTGCAAGCCATAGTTTATAAGTATATATGTATTATCTATCTCTAGCTATTTTGGGGGCAGCATTTACATTTCTAAATTTAAAAAAATCTATAGGAAATCCTCTTAAATAAAATGTAAGTGAGCTATAAAGTACTCAAGATCATTCAGGTAAATGTAGCTTTTATTAAAAATTTTCCCTCTCTTTGCAATAAAAAGTAGACATACCAATGTATTAGTTGTAAAACTAATTTGTAATAGGTAGAGTTAGTTTTTTTTATTTTTAAGATATGCTAAATATCAGGACCTCTTTTCTATCACAGATCAAGTCTACCCAAAGTAAATAATAGAATGTCTGCTTGTTTAACAAACTGGTGGGTTTTTATTTTGTCAGTCCTTTAGTGCTTTGCTAGGTCCCAAGCCATATGGCCAGCCTTGGAAATATAATGGCTCATTTTAGCCCATTCCTGACTTCAATACCACCCTGGGGGTCCTGTTTTATAATGATTTGGCACTTGTGAAGTGCTGGTGATTTCATCTGGATACAGAGTGAGGCAGTGAAAGATGATCCCCAAAGTGAGACTGAAGTGTTGTTTACAGCTTACGAAGATTTTTCATAGGATTTTTCCTGAGAACAAATATTGTGGAGCATGTTTAAAAGGCAACCCTTGTTTCTTTTACACTGTACTCTCAGTGCTTTTAACACCAAATGTGTAGGGCATTTTCCTATACCATCCCATTCTCTTACTCTAAACAACTGGGTGTCCTACAAGTCAGTTATGACCTAACCACATGGTCTTAGCACAAACCTCAGAGGTTATGGGCTCAGTTCCACAGGGCCGTCCCCATTTCAAATACTGAGTGTAAGTCTGTGCCTTCAATACTTCTAACCAACCAGCTATTAACAGGGGTTCCAATTTGTTTCCAGCCACCTCTTTGGGTTCAATAATTTGGCCCATAAAACTCAGAGAAACATTTCTGTTTACCAATTTATTGTAAAGGTTATTACTAGGGATATAGATGAATAGCCAGGTTAAGAGGCACATAAGTGGCAATGTCTAGGAGGGTCCCAAGTGCAGGAGCCTCTGGCCCCATGGGGAGTTGGGGTACCTTACCCTCCCAGCTTATGGATGTGTTCATCAACCCCAAAGCTCTTCAAATTAGATGATTTAGAGATTTTTTCATGGAAGCTTTTATGGCACGATTGACTATTAACTCAATTTCTAGCCCCTCTCCCTCCCTGGAGGATGAGGAATGGAGCTGAAAGTTCCAGGCTTCTACTCACGACTTGGTCTTTCTGGTAACCAGCCTCCATTCAGGAGCAATGGGGAGTCCACCATAAGTCATCTCATTAGAACAAAAGATGCTCCTGTAACCTAGAAACATCAAGGGATTTAGAGACTCTGTGTCCCAGGAAGCAGGGTCAAAGACCAAATAGTAATACAAAAGATGCTCCTAACATCCCTATTGCTCAGGAAATTAGAAGGAGTTGTATGCCAGGGGCTGGAGGCAGAGACCAAATATATATTTCTTATTGTGTCACAGTGTTTTTCACAGTACCGTGTCAAATTAACGACACAGACAAGTATTAGACAGGAAGAGCTTTTTCTCATTTCCATGAGGAGTGATTTTTTTAGGCACACTTTCAGTCGCTCTATGACCCTTTAGTCTCTTTCAGGAGAGGGGCATTTTACCTGCTTGGCAAATCTGGGGTGATCAAATGTACTCAATTCTTCCCTTTCTCCTCTTGGGATGGACCCTGCCTGCAGAAAGCACCATGGTGCTTAGCTCCTTCCAAATCAGAATTTTCTCTTATTGGATGGCAGTCTCTTCTTTCTCCACATTTTTTTTTAATTCTTAAAGCAAACTGGTGTGCCTGCCCTGCTCCTTCGTGGGAGGCCTGCCCTGCTGGAGACTTGCCTATTGCCTGGAGGAAGAGCCTGCCTGATTCTGGAGTTCCATATGAATAAGCCAATGTGACTAATAGGCCTCAGCCTTTATCAATAATAAAGGCAGGATTTGGACACATGACTTTATCAAGATGCTTTATTTCTCAGTTTGTTCAGAACCATAGCTCGGGAAAGGGTTGCACTTTATCCCCTTAGACAAACCTACAGTAATCAGCAGTGATTTTGAATCATGAAGAAGGGTTTTTATCATTGGAGAAAGGTTAAATGAGGATTTATCAATTACCCTTTTGGATATTTATATTAAGCCATTGTATGTAAAGAGAGGTTGGCATCAGTGATGTGGTGACATAATGCAGAGACAAACTTTCTTTTATTATGATTGAGCAGTAGAGGTCATTTTCCATTCTGAAAACAAAAGGGATAGATTTAGCTGGAATAATATTAGTACGTCTCACTGATTCTAGGATGTCCATTTTATTCATGTTAACTATTTATTTCAGCATCAGTGTTACAGAACAGTTGTTGACCTTGTTGACCTTATTCATAAGTATGTCCCATATTGTAGAATCTTCATTTTCACAATTGCAATAGCAGACGGGAGAAGTTGTTAGAAAGGTGGAATTTACTTGTTACAGATTAAGATCTACAATAAATAGATAAATATTTGAGTCATTTAGTTAGTAAGGACATTTTGCTATGTCCTTTAGGACAGAAGTTTCTTTATATTCTCAACATTTTATGTAGCTCATGGCCACCCAAAACAGTGACTATGTTTGCCGATTACCCTTGGGAACTAGATGTGACCAGATTCCTACAAATGAGACATGGATAGAAGTGATGTGGGACTCATTCAGGCTGTGCTTTTTCCCATTCTGCACTTTGAAATGCACCCAGGAAAGAGAAAGGAGGGTCTGTCTTGAATTATGAGAGGAAGCTATGTGCTGAAGATGTCTCAACAAAAAGATATAAGAAGCATAGATGTTTCGCTAAAGATGATATAAACACCAACCTAGCCCTAGAGCACCTTATTGGGCTTTGTATAAGTGAGAAATCTATTCCTGTCTTGTATTAACCACTATAATTTTGAGTATTTGTGACACCACCCAAATATTCTATTTAACATTGTCATGTTGTACTGCAGTTTTCATCACAGGACTTTGTGCTGAAAGCCTTGTAATTCTAATTATTTTATAATTAGAATTTGATCTAATTGATCAAAATAGAAGATTGTCTTGAACTTGTATTCTTTTCTTTACATTTGTTTAATTTAATTTA